ACTTCCTATCATCATAGCCTTTAGATGCTAACCAGTCGGCAGCTTGGTTGCCTTCCCTCCAAGTATGAGTAAGGTTGTTTTCTATCTTCTCCAACAGCCATCTAATGGATTGCAGTGTATATTGGACTCCCCATGGACAATTGTTTTGTTTAATCAAAGTAATTACCGTCTTAGAATCAGACTCTACCCATATTTTCCTGATTCCCTGTGACCAGCACATCTTCAACCCAGTTTCCATAGCTCTAAGTTCAACTTCCAATATAGAGTCTTCTCCATAATAATCATAAAATCCCCAAATTGGATTTCCCAAGTTATTCCTCAGTATTTCCCCGCCTGCAGTCTGGGAATCATCCTTCATAGCCCCATCCGTATTAAGTTTATACCAACCTGTATCAGGTTTAATCCACTTGACTACTGTAGGTATTTTATACCTGATTCTCCCAATCTGTTGGATCCTACCTGCCCTTATTAGTGCATAGATCAGGATATAAACTTGTTTAATAATCCTGTTAGCCTTTATTGTATAGTGTTTATGCTTTGCATTATTTCTAGCCAACCAGATAAACCAGATGTCAACCTGTGGAGCAGCATTTCTGATCTCACCCGGATTTGCTTTCTTCTGTTGGAACCAGTGCATTAGTAAAGTTCTGGGATGATCACCTCTAATTTCTTGAACATTCATAGCCCTGTGAAAATGCGACCAAACCTCCTTTGCAATTCGACTCTCCAAGAATACATGATTGATACTTTTTGAACTGTTGCAACACTGACATTTGGATGCTAAATGGATGACACATTTTTTCTGAATAATGTCATCAACATGTAACCAATTATGCCAAAACCTCCAACCTAAAAAACTAATTTTTTGAGGAATGCTTTTATCCTAAATATGTTTATAAGCTAATTATTCTGATTTACTCTGCCTGAAAAGTTTAATACAAGAGGAGATGGAAAATTTTCCAGAAGAATTATGTATCCAGAACATCTTATCAGGTATCTTGGTGACCGGGATCTTCACTATTTCATTAACCACTTCAGCAGGTAGAATGGAATTCAGTGAGATAGTATCTCATTCATTGTTGTTTCTGAAATCCAAAACAAGCTTATCTTGAGGCAGATCCTGTTTCAATCTCCATTGAACAATCCCAGACTTAAGCCAAGCATCGTGCTTAAAGTTAATTTTTCCTTCTCCGATTCTCTAACCAATATGAGGTTCAGTTAATTTTCTGGCTTTAACCATCCTTCTCTAAATCCCAGAATCTTGAGAGCTGTGATTCACAAGACTAGCATGACTGGTCCTACAGTATTTGGCTAGCAAGACCTGACTCCAAAGTGATTTTTGCTCCCTAAACTTCCACCAAAATTTACAGTCAAATGCTATATTCAGGTCAGAGAGAGATTGACATCCAATTCTCCCTTCTTCAACGGGACAACAGACATTTTCCCTGGAAGCCCAATGTATTTTCTTGGTCTAGC